CATGTATACGAGTAGCGTTTGCTTGTGTATGTATCATACATATGAGGTTATACGGGCGTATTTAGTGTAAATAATTATTATTTTGAGATTATCAAAATTATAAAATTAAATATTATATCAATGATAAAAATTAAAGTTAATTAAGAATGATCACATAATAATTTAAAAAATTATGTGTATTTTTCATTATTCTTAAAAATTATTTTTTTTATGAGAATCAGCTATAATTATTACTTGAGTCATTCCCTCGCCATATATGTTGAGAAAATTAAACCTGGGGAGGGGGAAGCTTTACTTAGTATCATTTCACGTTGGCACATTTGCGATTTATTTGTTACGTTTGCGGTAAAATAAAAAAAATGCTGACTTTTTAATATAGTAGAAAGTTTTTACATTATCCGTGAAAGTTAATTAAATTCATTTTTTTTAATATATTCAATGGGTTAAAAGCTCAATTAAATTATAGAATATACATTAGACTCGTGAGAAATAAAAATGATATAATTCCAGAAAAGTAATTTTACATAATAAAGTTTGGATATTTTAAATTTCGTTTTTTAAACTGAAATGTATTTTTCATAGAAGACAGTGCACTGAGAAAATAACAATCTTCTTATAACATGTGTAATTGATGAATTTTGAAATTTTATATAATTTTATTTTTTTATACACATATGCATTCACACTTTTATATTATAATTATTCTGTTTTATTTGTTTATTTTGTAATTTAGTTTGATTTTATATTTTTAATAAAGCATATATTTAATTAGTGATGTGAAAATTTCACCAATCATCATTGAGTAAAAAAATTATTTAAAAAAATTATTTTTTAAATAGACATTAATATGTTAGAAAGTAATATTTAAACTAAAACCTGAGATAGAGACATCTATATAAAATATCATATAATATTCTAAAGAATATTTTAAATATGCTAAATATATTTTAATATTCATAGAAATATAAGTACTAATAAACATGGGTTTCAGGAAACAAAGTCTAAAAAAAAGAATTTGAATACTAAAAACCTTTAGAACAGGTCTTCGTTGCCTACCTCCATTATCTTTTAAATATAAAAAAAATATTTATTTAACTGTTAAATTATATAATATTATTTTTATAAATATGTACGAAATTTTTTTATAGTTATATAAATTTATAATTAATACTTATTCATATTTTAAAAATATACTATACATACGAAAAATTTTGTTTAAGAAGAAAAAATAAAATATATATATATAAAACTCAATCTACTTATTAAAAACTTTTAAACCAGTGCTTGAATTAGTAAAATTTATTATTTATAAAATATTATAAAGAACAAAATTACTATAATAAAGGACTCCTCTTTTAGTAACAAATTATAATTTAAAAATTAACATACAGAAGATAAAAGGTAAAATAATTTAAATATGGTAAAATATAAATAATATATAGAAATATGATGTTTTTGGTAAATTCTGAAAAATCGTCATTGGTGATCTTTGACTCTTTTACTTGCGAATATACGCAGGAATCTCTGAAAAATCTTTCAAAAAATCGTCATTGGCAATGTTTGACCAGGAAGCATCGTTCCCATGCGAAAAGTCATTGAACACTGCAATGAATCTCTGAAAAATTGTCATTGGCGATCTTTGTTCTGAAAAGCTTCTGAAAAATCGCCATTGGAGATGTTTGACCCATTAGAAATTTGTTGTCACAATGCACTATTGCTTACCATGACTATAAATCCCACTCCAGTGCAGCAATAGAAGACATGCATGAAGAAGCGAGGGAGTAAAAATGAAGGAAGAAGAAGGAGCATTCAGGGAGCATTTTGAAGGAGTGTTCTGAGTGAATGAAAGAATATTTGAGTGAAAAATACTTAAATTCAAAAACAAATTAAAATTGAAAGATTGTTAGAGATATTACATGTGATTTAAGTCAGCATATTTCAGAAAGCATCTGCAATTTAGATGTAAGTGTTTTAATTTTTATTTTAATTAAAATTTAAATTTGATTACAAATTTATTATAAATATTTATGGTAATGTAATAATTAGTGAGTAAGTAAAAATTAAGTTGCTAAATATACATTTATGGTATTATAATTAATTGTTATTATTGTATTTATGTTGATAAATAAACTTGGGGAGAAAATAATGTTAAGTAATAATTGAAAATATTTAATATAAAAAATAGAAAAGTTTGAAAAATAATTTTTTTTAGAATCAAAATAATAATTAATTTTGTATTAAATTAATTTATATTAATTTTTGTTATTTATTTTTTTGTCTTTTATTAACATATTGTAATTTATGTTAAAGTGTTATCAATTTTTTTCATATAAATTTTAGAATTACGTTAGTAAATATAATAAATTACAATATGTATTTTTAAAATTATGTTATTTTATTTTATCAACATAATATTTTGTTTACAAGTTAGTAAATATCATAATTTATAATTTGTTTTATTGTTTGTTTATAAATTTCACCTAAATTATTTGTTATTTGTATTTATTGATATTATTTTTTATAACAGGAAATTAGACTATTATGGTCCCGTCATTTATCCATAATGCCACCTAGAGAAGAAACAAATAAAATTTTACGTGATGCTGAATTTTATCAGATTTCTAAAATTTGTCATATACAAATTAACGGTCCTTTAATTAATGCACTTGTTGAACGATTTAGACCTGAAACACACACGTTTCATTTACTTTGCAAAAAATGCACAATTACATTAGAAGATGTTGGTATGTTACTTGAACTACGGGTTGATGGTCTACCAGTGATTGGGTTAACTAATCCATTTTCTGCAGTGATTCTAAACATGTGTGATGAGTTATTAAACTGTCGACTGTCAATAATGATATTGAATTATCAAAAATTAAATCAAAATGGCTTATACAACATCTTTGTTGGCTTCCTGTTAATTCCAATGCTAGAAGAGCATAATATGCACGCGGATATATACTTTGTTTATTGGGTCATGGATACAAAATTCTTGCAGTTAGTGGCACATGTAAATTACTTTCCAACATACAAGTCTCCATCTACATCAGAAAAACCTATGAAATGCAAACACAAATATAACAAATTTAAAAACTATAATTTAATTCATCAACAACATTTCTAAAAATAAGACATGCCTAAATTTGCATACTCTGGAAACTCAGTTGCATACATAGTATCAAAATTTAATGAATGCATAAAGGATGGCTCCCTAATGGATGTTGATCAATCACTGTGTTTGACAAATAGATCTCATCATGACCATTGTTATCCATATCTTTATCTTCACTCAACTCAGTGCTTCCGTATTCCCCTTCAGAGTCATAGTCAACACTTTCATTGCTAGTATTAATTTATTCTATATCTCTATTTGGTATACCGCTTGCATATGTTTCATCTGCATCTTCTTCATCAATGTTAACTGCAATGTCTTTGAAAAAAACATATAACTCAATGGCAAGAGTTTGCAGATAACGTTGTTGATGTATTTGAAACATTTGTAGAACATCAACCTCATTCATTATTGAAAGTGTTTGATATTTGTATGAAACCTTCAAATATTGATATTGAACATCTATAAACAATACTTTTCATTGCCTTTAGAAACTCAAACAATATTTTTTACTGCCTTTAAAAACTCAAATATAATATTTTCAATAAGTCAATGTAACATTTCTCCAAATGATAGATTATCTCTCGTATATGCACATGTTGTCATTTTACATCGAAATAACACACATTCACAAGTATTTGTAATAATCTCACAATTAAAATAAATCAATAAAAATACACACCTTCACAGGTATCAATAAAAGTATATAAAATTAATATTTTTTTTAACGATAAATTCATTTTTTCTATCTAAAATGTTTCTTCTCCGTTACTCAATCTAAAATTTTACTCTTGCAACTTTTAAAGAATGAAAAACTTAATATTTATAGGCAATTATCATAAAGTCTCCCTTAACGATTTTTAATTTTTTCTGATTATTTAATACCATCTAAAATTTACCAATAGTAATTTTTTTATATACTTTTAATTTTTTAGACTCTCAAAAGTTGTCACAAGTGATTTTATGTATTTTTTAAATATTTAAAACTCGCCAATGACAATTTATATATAATTTTTAATTTTCTCAAAATCATAAACATTGTCACTACCAATTTTATAAATATATAATATATTTTTTAAATATCGCCATTAACGAGTTTTTATGTGATTTGATATTTATAAATTAAAAAATGTCATTGGAGAGATTTGATCTTATATTTATGTAATAAATAAATAAAAATCATATTTTTTATTATTAAATATAAATACTGTATAAAAAAAAAACAGCCTAGCTATAAATTATATGAAACATGAACAAGTTATAGGGGAACAAAATCTTATATTAATGACACACGTAATTAACTATAAAGATGTGTGTATTATGTTTAATAACATTGATAATAATATAAATTAAACATCGTAAATAAAATAATTATATATTTTTATGTTAAGTAAATTTATAACTGAGATCATTTGTACTTTTCCCCCTTCCTTATTCAGCTTCATATGCTGAAGTTTTTTCATAAAATTGCCGTGTAACCTAAAGCTGTAAAACTGAAAATGAGAAAATTGGTAGTGGTTACATTTATTATCATTTTCTAAATTCTTATTAATCAGTATTTTAAAAGTAATAATTAATATTTTTTATTAAACTTATATGAAAGATATATATTAAAAAATGATATTAATGATATGTTAAAAATTAAGAGAATTTTACATGTTTGAATAAAAAATATTAAAAATTCTTTAATAATTTATTTTTAAGAACAACACTACACAGAAATTTGTTTGCGTTTCTTTTTTTATATATGTAGTTGTTCGCGTTTTTAATGAAGGGAAAACGAGAACCAATCAGTGAGAGTTTTCAACAGTAATCAGTAGAAAACCACCGCAGAAATTACAGGGGAAAACGGAGGCATAACAGTTGCAACAGAAATCGCCACGCGTCCCCTAATCAGTGAATCCCTTGTCGGTTGCTCTTCGCAGACGGTAGAGGCAGTGGACACGTGTCAGGACGCTCATAATCCTCTTCTCTATCCCCAGTCCCTACACACCCCATCTTCACACAACCCAACCTTTAAACACTTTCATTACGCACCCACTCATACCCAATCCCCCATTTTCCGGTTCACTTTCGCCGGGAAATCCTATTTCTCATGCTTTCCAATTCAGTTCAACACTCGCCGGAATCCCAACCCAGTAAAACACTTCACTCCAAAACTTCCATCACTATTGCTCTCACTTCCATTCTCCAACCACTTCTCTCCCCTCAAAACCCTCGCTCATGGATTCTCTTCACACTCCTCTTCATCCAGATCCTCCTCCTCTGCAACCTCCGTAGCTTCCCCTCCACAATTTCCCTCTCCCACCACCACTTTCCCACTCCCCTCACCGCCCTCCACGACTCTTCCCCCGCCGTCCACCACCACGGCCAATGCAGCTCCGGCAAAGTTTTCGTCTACGACCTTCCTGCAACCTTCAACCGAGAAATTCTCCAAAATTGCGACAATCTCAATCCCTGGAGTTCCCGCTGCGATGCCCTCTCCAACGATGGTTTCGGCCGGAGCGCCACCGTGGTCGCCGGAATCGTGCCAGAGGATCTTCTCCCGGCGTGGCATTGGACGGACCAGTTCGTCTCCGAAATCATCTTCCACAACCGCATAATGAACCACAAGTGCAGAGTCACAGAGCCAGAGTCCGCTACGGCGTTCTACATTCCGTTCTACGCTGGACTCGCGGTGGGGCAGTATCTGTGGTTCAACTCCACCGCAGAGGATCGCGATCGCCACTGCGACATGATGCTGCGCTGGGTTCAGGAACAACCGTTCTACAAAAGATCAAACGGTTGGGACCACTTCATTACCATGGGGCGCATCACATGGGATTTTCGGCGCTCTAAGGATGAGGATTGGGGTTCTAGCTGCATCCATAAGCCAGGAATAAGGAACATCACGCGCCTTCTCATCGAGCGTAACCCTTGGGACTATTTTGACGTCGGTGTTCCCTACCCCACCGGATTCCACCCCCGCTCCATCTCTGATGTCACGCGCTGGCAGAGCTTCGTCCGCGAGCGCCGCCGCCACGCGCTCTTCTGCTTCGCCGGCGCGCCTCGTCGCGCGTTCCGTAACGACTTCAGGGGAGTTCTACTGAGTCAGTGCCGCGACTCGGCCGGGTCGTGCCGCGCCGTGAATTGCACCGGGACTCGGTGCTCGAACGGCACGTCGGCGATCCTCGAAACGTTTCTGGACTCGGAGTTCTGCTTGCAACCGAGAGGAGATAGCTTCACGCGCCGCTCGATTTTCGATTGCATGGTGGCCGGTTCGATTCCAGTTTTTTTCTGGCGGCGAACCGCGTATTGGCAGTACCAATGGTTCTTGCCGGATGAATCGGAGAGTTACTCGGTTTTCATAGACCGGAATGCGGTGAAGAATGGGACTTCGGTGAAAACCGTTCTCGAGAGTTTCAGCAAGGAGGAAGTGAGGAAAATGAGGGAGAAAGTGATCGAGTACATTCCGAGGTTGGTTTATGCGAAACCTAAACAAGGTTTGGAAAGTGTGAATGATGCATTTGATGTTGCCATTGAAGGGGTGCTAAGAAGGTTTAAGGATCAGCAAGAACCGGAGTTTCATAAGTGGAAATAACTAAGCCTGGGATTAGATTTAGAAAGTACAAATTAATAAAAATATACTATATATTTGTTTCGCATAAATTTGGTAGGTTAGTTTTTTTTCTTACAAGGCATATAATTTATAGATGTACAATGTGATGTATCATATCGATATTGTGATATTTTTTACTACGATGGACATTGATGTTTATTGTTTCAGAATACTTAATCGTGTCAATTTTATCAGAAATCAATTCAATATCATAGACACCCAAGATTACTTGCATAAATTTTTAAATGATTGCATGTAATCCGGTCCAACTCACGTACCAAATGGCATACCATTACGTCGCTACGAAAATGCTGTTACTGGCTATGGATTGGTGGCCCTCGCTGATCCATATCTTTCTAACAATACTCTGACTTCACACTGCTGCTTCAGGGTTTCACTCTATTTTTCTGTGCAATCATGGGATAGGGGAAATAGACACAACATGAACATGACAGAAAAAATCGCATTATAAAAACTACGTCTTGGATATGTGTTGTTATCTGTTGTTGCTAATGATTTTGGTGAGCTTTCAGGAAGTGTATGTGCGTAACAATAATGAACTTTGTCTGCTACTTGTATATATTGTATATTATTATCTGTTACTATTATTTTTGGGAGGAAAGAACAATGTATCGCATTTCTTATGCAATGATAAAATTTTGTATGCTATCTTTAATACACTTGCCTAATTGCATCAGTTTCACCTTATAGCAAATGAAGCAATGATTAAGAGCTTAAAAGGTACGCGATGAGGAGCCAGTTGAGTGCCTGTGAGTGGATCGAGGGAAAACTCAATTGCCAATCCCGTTTCCAACTCTTATTACCGTGTTACTATTATAGTTTGATTGGTTCATGTGGAATAGATGCATACCGCCGCAAGGTATGAACACAAAAGGTTAAAATTTGTGCCTTCCAATATAAAAGGAAGGGTTTTGAAAGATGGTGCCTTTATCAAATTGGGGAATCTATTCAATTTCTTCGGTGACCTTGTGGGCCTTCGAAGGGTTAATGAAGCATAAAATTGAGTGGAATCTCAGTCTATTTGTCCTTTGCCCACATATTAAACAATCTGCTAAGGCGCAAGAATAAAGCGCTATTAAGTTCCCCACTCGTGTTTAAGACCTTTAGGTTTAGTAAAGTTCATTAGTAAAAATAAACCAAAAGGAATTTGCACAATTTTTTTTACGTTCTTTCGTTGGCAATCCTTTTATAACGGTGCCATAATAGTTGCACTGTGAAGAAGGAATTGACAGAAAAGTATGGACACGTTAAAGTGGGAGGAGAAATCATGGTGATGAAAGTGACACTGTCTGTATTAGTTTTTTTACTATTTTTCTCTTGTGCAGAACGTTAACTAAGTGTATTGAAGACATCAAACCATCTTGTTCAAGCGAAAGTTTCGCAAGAAAAAATAGCTTGTTTAGAACAGTTCGATCTGTAAAGTTGCGCAACAAATTTATCTGATTAGTATTGAAAAAAATCACTAAACAGCAAATAATGTTTAGTGAATAATTCATTTTTATGTCTCTCACGATTATTGGACGAGAAACGGAAATATCATCATATATCTTCAAATTTTTGAACACGAAGGCCTGAACGATGAAAATAAAGAATGAAAAGAAAAAGAAGAGAATTCTTTGGATAAAGCTATTTTTAAATTTACAAAATATTTTTATTTAATTTAATACACCATCTTATTGGTCTTAAAACGAAGAGGAGATTTAAAGCCCAGAGCATCAAGGACCAAGCCTTTAAATTTCAACATGAAAATCCTAATGATGGTGGATGAACATATGGGCCACTGGTAGGCTTAAACAACAGGATGTGGTGGTGTACCAGGTGGAGTATCTGAACTCCCACGGCTCGGCCCAGATGGAGGAACAAAGCCTTTGGGTAACATACCAAAATCAAAGTTTGACTGAGGAGGTGCATTGGGGGGAGGATCTGAAGTTCTTGTGCTAGGCCCAGATGGAGGAATAACCATACCTTTCGGTAAAATGCTAAAATCCAAACCCTCTCTGCCAAAGGTTGTGACCCTTTTGAGACTCATTGCTTCCAGCGGAGAAAAAGAAATGCACACTGATATTGTCAATGCCATTACAAATATTGCCCTCAACATATTTAGCCTACTCTTCATCCCCATACCCTTCATTTGCCTCTAACACACTCTTTTCGTGCCATGGCTGAACCATTGCCTCTTTAAATAGCAAAGCGTTTCTCCAATAAGAGAAAAAAATTAAATGTCAGATATACTGCAATTATATCCACTAACTTCATTGGGAATTGATTTTGACCAATATTCATTTTATTCTCTTCCATTTCCTCCTTGTATCTGATTACGATAATCCCCGAAATCGGAAGTGACCTTATGAGAGTTTATTTATTTTTAATATATATCCAATTAACCCAACTTGACATTAATGAGAGGATAAATAATTTAGTACATCCCAACTATGAATGGTAAAAATCATCCCAGATACAAAATGGTAATTGCCTCATCATTGACATTTTTTTTACTGACATCTGCTGAATGCTATATAATAGCACAAACTATTATACATAATATTTTTTAAACATGCAGTATTTAATGTTGTTCATTAAATTTTATAATATATTATAATTTTTAAAAGAATTATATATGATTTTTTATTATGTATCTTAAACATTAAAATTTTTGAATCTTTAGAAAGTGGTTACATGGCGAAATTATATATATATTTTTATTAATTTTAAAAATAAAGATAAGCAAATCTACAAAAACAGATAAATTATTTAATCCGTGTACGCAAAAGTAATGAAAAAGCACATTTTTCAAATAAATATGTAAATTAAATTGCGTCAAGGTCTAATCACTTGTCATCGAGTAATTAAACTTTTAATTATGGAGCTTGACTGATTTATTCTTTCAAAATTTATATTATATATTATAATAATAATTCTAAACCTCCCTATTTTGTATGCATGTCCTTAATTGTGAAATAAATAAACTATTAAATATTTTTATATTTTAAAATAAAAAATAAAAATGTTTATTTGTTTAATACTCTGTACAAAAGAATATAACAAAACTTATAAAAAAAAATTCTCACTTAGAGTCTTGTCACGTTAGAGATAACAAGGGATGAAGTTAAAATGAATGAGCACAATACTCGTCACTGTACTCACGTTTTTATATATATTTTTATGTTTGTGAGTATCGAAATCTTTATAATTATTTTTATTTATTGCAAGTTATTAATTGAAATGAAATATGTTTTACAAACTATTAAAATATAAATATTATTACTAAATAAATATAATTTTTTAAATATAACAACATAAAATATCGTTCTTGTTATTTGCATTAAAAAGAAAATAAAAATACATGCTAATACAAATAAAATTGTTTGTTTTTATGAAATTTAAATTATAAATAAAAGACAAAAACGTACAATTTATTTACTTTTAAACTCTTTTAATATCATAACAAAATCTTCTTTTGTCTGTCAATTTCTACAAACAATTTATGAATACGATTTATAAATTAAACATATTTTTAGGAGTTTCTTAAAAGATAGCATTTAACAAAAATTTTTTCATGGCAAGTGATATTTCCACATTAAAAATTAATTTATTTTGTAATTTAAAATTTAAATATTTATTTGATATAATAATAATTATTATTAATTGTAATATTTTTAAAACTTTTTAATTTTTAAATAATTACATAATATATTTTAATTATTTTTAAAAAAATATGTTTTAATTTAATAGTATTTGTATAATAACATATAATTACAAAATTTTTGCACTTCAAGTTCTATACTACTCTATGCGTTTTTCTTCCTCAATAATTAACATTCTATTTTCGTTATCTTTTTAATAATTAAAAAAATAATATTTTACATAGCGCTGAAGGTTATGTTTAGAATATATTTAGTATAAATTTGAAAAAATTTAATTGTTTGAATCTTGTAGAATGACATCCATATTAAATATTTACTATAAAACATTTTAAAAAATAAAACATGAATTTAACATGCAGTTATCATCATATAATTTGTTCAAACGTGTATTTAGGTCATATATTTATTTAAAAATTAATTTAATCGATTAAATTCAGAGTGTGTGCTTGATCATTCAATATCTTAATATCATTAATATTTTTAGTTATAATTAAAAATAACTCATTAGTAATAAGATTTTAAGATCATTGTTTATTATTTATGAAAGGATAGAAATTGTTTTATATTTTAAAATTCTTTTATTCAACCTAGTTTGCTTATTCAAAATATTATTCTATGTATTGATTATTTTAATTATTATTTCAATAAATTTTCTATATGTTTTTATAGAATTATTAAACAGTTAATACTGATTAAATGTGTAACTTTAAATTTTAGACGGTGATTGAGTTATCTTCCCCAGCCAATAAGTGAAGGACAAATTAAAGACGCTTAAAGTGTTTTTTTTTTTTTCCAACAACAAATTGGATTTCTGATTTAGGGCGTTTTAAAAAATACCGGTACCGGTCCCATACTCACGTGGGTATAAACATTAATCTCTGTACCTGTACCTTCTGGGTATTCGCATACTCATCTTGTACTCATTACCCGCGTTTGTTTGAAAAAAAAAATATTTATAAAAAAAATATATGCTTATATAATTTCACATAAGTAACATAATAATACAAAAATTTAATATGTAGTTGTCGAATAAGGTACAAACATAGATAAAAAATAAATATTCAAATATCATAAATGTTAAATGTATCATAATATAATAATTTTATAAACTAAAATTTTTAGAAACAATAAGCGAAACTAAACACACAAGTTATTTGTCAGTGATAACCCTATTTTGTGTGAGATTTGATCGATTGGTAATGTCGACAACGAAATAGATCTATGTAATGGTTGTCCCTTCGTGTGGGATCACTTAGTGACATCTTGTGACGGCATTGACAACTAATTCTAATGAATATTTCATAGTTGTTAGGTTTTAATGAGACAAACATTGAGAATAAGAATAAAGTTAAAGTTGAGAAGTTTAATACTAATAACAGAAAGTGGATACATAAAATATTTTTTTAACTTTTGAATTTGAAATTGTAAGAAAAATAATAGATTTAATTAAAATAATATAATATATATATATATATATATTAATACTAATATTTTTAACTCATATACTATACGAAAGTATTTTATCAAAAATACAAATTTTTGAAAAATTATTCTAATGAATTAAATATTTATAATGTATATAAATTTTAAAGAAATAATTTGAATAAAAGATAAATAGTTACAATAAAATTTTATAGTAAAAAAATATATGTGTATATTAAAAAAATTATACTTTTTTATCTAAAAAAATTAACAAATAAAAATTAATAATAATTTTTAAAATTTATATCTTTTCAAAAACTTATTTGAATGTGAATAAATAGTAAAAATAATATTATTTAGATTCAATAGATTGTAGTTGTGCTTGTAATACATATGTTGCATAAAAAAATTATTTTAAATTAAAATATAAATATTATTAATAAATAATAAGTTTACGGTAATAGTAGGTGATTATAAAATTTATAAAATATTTACAATATATTTATTATTTATCATTCACTTTATGATTTAAACATCAATATGATTTTATTAACAAAAATATTTGTGTAAAAAATATTTTATGTGTGTCATATATAAATAATATTTTAAAAAAAGTCAATCTCATATTAACGATGTAATAATTAAATTGTATTAATCTAATTAAATGATATAAAATAGTAAATAAATTTTTTTATTAAAAATATAAACCAAAATTAATTTTTTAGTTTACTTTATTATTAAATATATTTTTATATTAATCTTATATAACTTCACATAAATAATATAATAATATAAAAATTCAATACATAATTGTAGAATAAAATTCAAGCATATATATATATATATATATATATATATATAATATGTGTGTGTATGGGGCGGGATAGGTACTTAGATACCCATACCCACATCTATCTCCATTAAAATTTGTAAATTTTTACCCACACCTATACCCGTACCCGTATAGTGGGTAAATATCCTACCCATAGTGGATAAATATCATACCCGGATAAATTTTGTAGGTGACCCTGGATACTTTACCCATTGCCATTCCTATTCTGATTCCCTTTAAAAGCTGATTTGTGAAGTATTTATCTTAAATTTAATTTAACTATTAAGAAGGACATTAAGAAGGGTATTTATAATATTTAAATTAAGAGTGATTCAAAGAATTTTATTTCTTAAATTCTAAATGTTAAGGAATATTCACACTTTTTGTTTCACTTTATATTATCTTTGATAATGCTCCCCTGTTTTGGTACTCCTATTTAAGTTGAGATACTGTTAGTACTTAGACTCTTAGATTTTTAAATTAGTTCTGTTTCTGGGCTGATTAGCTACCGTGTCCAGGAAAAAAGAAGTATTTCAATACAAAAGAAAAATATACAATTAAATTATTTAAATTAGGAGACATCATTTTTATCAACATAGCTACATAGGTGTCAAAACTTAAGGTTTTAAATTTATTTTAATTAATATTGATTAAGATAAAAAATAATTTTTTTAAAATAATAATATCAGTTTTAATAATGCAATAATATTTAATAATATGATAATTTAAATTTAAATATCAGTATTTAAAAAATAAAGAATTATAAATAAAACCCAATGATTCATTTTAAAAAATCCACGTAATTTAATGAAATAATTAAAAATATTTAATAATATTTTTTTAAAAATAAAATGATTTAACATTTATGGAAAAACAAACACTCGAAGTTTCTTGATATCCGTGGGTAGGTTTGTAAACTTGCGGAGTGGCCTCTCTCTGTACGGCTCTTTATCGAGTAAATTTTGGTATTCCATATTTCTGTCAGTGGTAGTTTTTTATTTAATAATTTTTTTCTTTATTTTTAATTTTAAAAGTTTTGAAATTAAGAAAAAAATAATTATGTATATGTAGATATTGTTATACAAAGAAAGGGCGTATGCACATTATTGAAAAAAATTCCTACTTCAAGAATGTTTCTCTTTTCCGTTTTTTTTTTTTTGGAATGTTCTATCCACATTCTTGTCAACTAAGGCTACGTGTTTTTCCTCTGTTTTTGCCTTAGAATTCCATGTACAAATGAATTTGAGTGTTTGTGTTAGTTTAAAAATTAACATGGCACTTTCATTCTTTAACTATGGATCGTATGGTACTTCAAATTTTGTGTGGCCCCGGCATTTTCTCGAAACACAATAAATACTAGTACAAGCGTGGAACTCATGGAAACTTGACAAATGATCAAGACACATTCACCTAATTACCCTTGCTGAGTCTTGCCCCCTGTCTTATGCACGTAAGAAAATTATATAAAATATTATACCATAAATATAATTATAAAATCTCATCGAAAACCCATTTTCCCTTTCATTTATAAGTCCACTCTTTTTGCTCTTGTTAAAATTTTGTTGGCTTAAGTTTCGGCTTTCAGAGTTGAAAACAACAAAATGGTTAAACAGGTTCTTCTTCTTCATCTCCTCTTCTTGGCTTCTGGATTGACCCTTTCAGTCTCCGAGTCCCAATCTGCTCCTCTGCTGCCTCACGCAGCTGAGTCCTTCAATGTCAGCTATATCCAGGTTCTGGTGCTAACTACTACTTCTCATGAATCAAAATATAAAATACAAACCCTTTGCTGTTTCTCACTTTTCCTCTTCCTATTTTTTGCTACTTTTATGCCTAATATGAAGTTGAATAGTTTTTTTTTTTTAATAACTGTTCCTTAAATAGCTGAAGAACGTGGGGAGTTGTTCTTACTTGGTGGTTATATCCACTAGTTGTTCGTCTCCTAAGTATACAAGGGATCAGATCAGTATTGCTTTTGGGGATGCTTACGGCAACCAGGTTTTCTCTTGTCTTCATTCAATTTCTCCTCTTATCTATTGTTTTTTAAGTGGAAGTGCTTGTCTTAATTATTAAAGGGTTGAAGTTTTTTTTTTTTTTTGGGCCAAGATCGGATTTTGAGTGGATTTTTCCAACTATATTGGTTATTGAGGACCGATGTACCAACCCACTATTGAAATTGAACTTAGAATCGTGGAAATTTAGTATCTTTTTGGAGTTCATTATTGTTACATGATAAGTTTCTTTCAGTATTTGATTCTTATTTTTTTGCTGGTGGGGTTGATGGTTTTAGCATCTATGCACACGAGTCTTCAATTTTATTTCCAGATATTTTGTTAGATCCTTCTTAGATTTGTTCTTATGTATCACCACTTTCTTGTGGCCTCGAAAGTATATGGAATTATTTATTGCTTCTATATTTGTTTGTGGAAAGGCTAACTGACTAACACAGACGTAGTTTTGTTGCTCAGCTCTTTTATTTTGGAGTCTATAACTGACAAAGCCTTTATATTATATATCATAAGCATTAAGATTAGAACCTTGTTTACTTTTGGTCAAACGTCCTATGACTTGATCTGCAAAGATAAGTGTATCCAAGTTGTCTTAAATCTGAAAGATGGGTTTCTACTGTGAAATGGCCAAATCACTGAATAGATCCGTGGCTTTTGAATCAATGTTTGTAAATTGGATAAAAGTAAAACAAACTCAAATGTAGAATCTGAAAAATAGGGTCTCAATATGGTTATACTTCTACCTAACCAAGGAAACTTCAATTTGAATAATTGGAAACTCATTTTTTACTTTTACATATTACCAGATATATGTACCAAGACTGGATGATCCAGCTTCAGGTACATTTGAGAGCTGTTCTTCAGATACATTTCAGATAAGTGGTCCATGTGCATATCAGATATGTTACTTGTATCTGTATAGATCAGGATCTGATGGTTGGAAACCTGAAAGTGTGAAGATCAATAGTTATAACGGAAGCCCTGTTACTTTCTATTACAACACATACATCCCCCAAAATACGTGGTATGGATTTGACTTGTGCAGTGGTGCTTATTCTTCTTCATCCCAATTATCTATGCAGAAGTGGCTTATATTTATGTTTCTAGGATTTGTTCTTAGTTTTTGGTTGTAAGTTTATATACTTTCCATCTTCTATGTTTCCTATAGCTTGTAGTCATGAAACTTAGTATCGTATGCAGAAGAGGTAGAGACACCAGATCTGTCGAACCTAAACTCTGTTTATTAATGGCTTTCTTTATTTTATTTTATTTTATTTGGTTTATGATGAACTTAATGTTTGAACACTGATGGCCCAATAAAACAAATTAATCACCCTAGTATTTGCTGAACAATTTATGTTTCGTCAGAGGTAGTTTTATCAAAATGAATTTTAATTTGAAAGGGAGCAATAGAGTTTTGAATTACAATGGTTATACTATTTATAATTTTGTTTAGATTCTGAATTTTTTAAGCAACTTAATGAGATAATCCAAATCACTGCCCTTCCTGATTTTCTTTCCCCGATGACTTTTCAAGTTAAGCTCTCAGAGGTTAGCTTAACTGGTTGGTAAGTATCATAGCAAACTGGGAGCTTAACTTGAAGAGAAGTAACGTGCGTTTAAGAAAAGTTTAAATGACATAATAACTCGTAACTCATGATTTGAGACAATTAATTGATGGCTACAAAAGGGAATGGAATGGAGGTTCCTTTACGATTTTAGACTAATTCTTTTTCCCCCTTTGGATGCTGGTGGGTTGGATGGATGCTAAAGCTATGGTTGCTAACTTGCTAAAACTATATCACAATCGTTACTCTCGAGAATAATCATGTAAAAGGATGGATAATATAATGTAGTATAACATCTAGGAAACACACATTCGACATATTGACTGGTGCTATAAGACAGATGTTAAGGTATAGTAAATGTTAAAAAATTAATAACACACTATGATTATAATATGACGGCTAAAGTTAATGTAAAAGTAAAGTTTGATATCCTAAGTGAGGAAAAACTCATGTTTTGAGAATAAGTATAAATTACAGTAAACATAATAAAATGTGATATATATAGTTTATTAAATATTTTAATTTTAATAAGATAACCTAATAATTTTCATCTAGATATTATTTTCAATTGTTGCCAAAAAAAACCCTAAATAAAGGCATTTGATAAACAAACTTATTTGTTCGCTTATGAATTTTTTTTACTATATTTTATAGTATTTGAGCCTCTGAACACCCCCCCCCCCCACCCTTACCATTGATATTATAAAAAAATTATATTTCTTCTTCATACATTCTTAAAAAACAATAGATTAATGATAATTGAGACAGAAATAAAATGTGATTTCGAATTTGCCAATGATGATATGAAAGTCTTTGTTTTTTCTCATTTATATATGAACTCGGAGACATTATAGACCCTTAGGTCATGGGTGTGGATATTCAATAAATTTTGAGTGATGGAAGTGCATTTAAAGCTCGAGCTTGATGTTGATTCTTTAAACTGTGAAGTGTATTCTTTGATCCTTAAAGTCGTGACAAATGTAGGTAGCTTTAACCGTTTTTCTTTTTTTCAATTCGAATGTGGAACAAAATAACTATTTCAAAAGGTTTATTTGGTCACATATGCTGTTGTATGGTTTTTATTTTTATTTTATAGGAGTAGGCCTTGATTTTTTTCACTATTGAGGGTATTCAGAGTTGTTGAGTAAACTATACAAGAGAATATAATAAGATTATTCTTTTATAATTAATTTTAGTTTAACAATAATATATGATAATTTTATTTTATGGGTTTATTAAATCTTTATTTTTAGTGTAATTTTTTTTCTATAAAACGAAGGGGAGCTCGGGTTAAAAATAAACAAAACAAAACAACATATTTAGTTTATTATTTCAATGAACATTGATAATAAATTAAGATAAGACTTTTTATAATTTATCGAATCTTATTCTCATTCAACTCTTATGTTTTATTATTTTTACATCCAATCATATTTTTCAAACAATAGTTAGACAATTTCTATTCAGAATAGTAGTTTTGAGAGTGTGAAAACCTATGACATTGGATATATTTGGATAAAATTTCCATTAAATACTTATTTAATCATTTTTTATCGCACAAACTTATAATATGAATTCAATCATAACATTTACCAGGACAATTTTTTATATAAACTATACTAATTTTGTTTTATCTGAATATATAATAATTTGTGAGTCATATGTTTAAAAAAATCATTTTAGGTATTTTTTTTTATTTTAATTCAATCTTAGTTAAATTTTTTTTCCATTTTAAAAATTCAATCTCTTTAATTTAGTTTCATTTAAGAAACCAATATATTTATTATTAATAACCAAAATATTTCTATCTTAAATTATAAAACTAATTTTTTTATGAAATATATTTTAAAATTTTATATAAAACTTTATTTTAATTTAACACAACCATACAAGATAAAAAAATTTACATGAGTCATAAACTATTCTAATAAATAATTTATAATTTTTTCATATATCTTAATAAGCACTACAATCTGTTCTCGAACATGTTGTATTGTTTTTTGTCAAAATAACACTAGTAGTTATTTCCAACGTTGACGGAATTAACTCCCGGGCGGTGAAACCGACAAAAGGTTGTTATAAATATTAGTTAATTGTTAATAAATGGAAAATAAATAAGGAAAGTTGGGATGGTTCATAATGAATCCAACGGCTAAGAAAAAAAAGACAAAAAAAGTTAGGGTTTGAGGATGTAAGAGCTGAGAAAGTTTCCACCGCCAAAACCATAAAACCGAAATACTCGACACTCTTTGCTCCTCTTTCTACTCCCTCTTCTGCACCTCACTGTTACTCCCTCCTTTCAAGCAGAAGAATATCTCTCTCTACACACGCCGCCATGCCTTCTCTTCCTCTCTCTGACGCTGAAGCCACTCCCAAAGATATTACTAATAAGAAACACAAAGCCAAGAAAACCAAAAACCAATCCATAACCGAACCCATACTCCATTCCAACCCCGAAGATGGGGTTTCGGGGAAGAAGAAGAAGACGAAGAAGCGCAAGGCTTCAGACTTAGAGGCCATGACGATCGACGAGACTAGTTCCGACCTGGACGAGAATAACAATAAGATGAAGAAAAAGAAGAAAAAATCCAAGTCGGAGGAACCTTCATTAATGCAACAGGAACAAGAACTAGAACGAGAAAAGAGGAAGGACGATCCCAATGCGGTTTCCAAATTCAGGATTTCGGTGTCGTTGAGGGAAAAGTTGAAGGCAAAGGGAATCGAATCGCTCTTTCCCATTCAAGCCATGACTTTCGATACCATTCTCGATGGTTCTGATTTGGTTGGTCGGGCTCGCACCGGTCAGGTCTTGTGCAGTGTTTAATTCTTTATAATTATTAGTTTTTTTCTTTAGAAATGTGGTTGTTTTTGGCTACGTGTTTATTGATTATTTTTTTTATAACTAAATTCACTTCAATGTGCTGCTTTTGATTTTTTTGAAGCCTTTTGTTTGATTTCGATTGTTGGAAATTTCAGGGTAAAACTCTGGCCTTCGTGTTACCCATATTAGAGTCTTTAACGAATGGTCCTGCAAAAGCGTCCAGAAAGATCGGCTATGGGAGGCCTCCGAGCGTTCTTGTGCTTCTACCTACTAGGGAATTGGCTTGTCAGGTATTGTGTGCAAGAGTTGTCATTGCAGGGGGTGAATATTGTTCTTGTTGTGTTCGCGTATTTTTTCACTTATGAGGAGTGTTGTGCATTAGGTGCATGCTGATTTTGAAGTTTATGGCGGTGCAATGGGGTTGACTTCTTGTTGTTTATATGGTGGAGCTCCGTATCAAAGTCAAGAAATTAAGCTAAAGAGAGGTGTTGATATTGTTATTGGCACACCAGGTCGAGTAAAGGTAATTGCAGTAATGTTAATTTATTATGTGTGGAAGCTTTGTTATTGCAAAAGTAGATTGCTGGGAAGCTTTGCTTTGTGTGTTTATGACATTGTATTGGTGCAGGATCATATAGAGAGGGAAAATATTGACCTGAGCCAACTAAAGTTTCGTGTCCTTGATGAAGCAGATGAGATGCTGAGGATGGGTTTTGTTGAAGATGTTGAATTGATTCTAGGTGTGTATTTTTGTATTTTTTTTCAATGCTTGGGGCATTTAGATGCTGTTAAGTGTCATTTTCTGCATCAATTAATCATGTATTAAACTCATTGTGAATTTGTGATGCTAAGACTATTTACACCTTGCCTTCTAAATTATTGACCTGGTTTAGTTAATTCTTGTTAGAGTTGTCGCAACTTGCAAGAATAATTTGGAACATTCACCATTTTGTGGGGAACAGTAGTAATCTTTATGCTTCTGTTCCTTGGTTATTCTATTTTTCCTGTCTAATACTCTACTTTACGATGTCTATTCAATCATCTTAATGAAAATTGCAAGTTGTAAACAGCTTCCTTAGAACATCCCATTCTATTATTGTTTTCATGCTTAATTTATTTAATTACACTATACTTTTGAGGATGCTTTCTCAATATAGCATTCTTTCAGTGGTAGCTCATTTTTCTCTTTGATTCTGATAAATTGAGCTATTTTAATTCGACTAGACTAAATTTTTTGCAAATCCTAGTATCATTTCAACATGTTTCTTCGCATCTTCTTGTGCATGATGTTTTTTAATTGTGACTGCCCAATATTTCATTTTCATCGCATGTGTTAGATGAGAGGATGTTTTGGTATCACATTGGTCTCTTATTTGATCTTTGCAGGTAAGGTAGAAAATGTTAGTAAAGTTCAGACACTTCTTTTCAGTGCTACTTTGCCAGACTGGGTTAAGCATGTATGGTTCTATTGAATGAGTTTTTCTATATGCTGACTGGAATTTATATTTATGGTCTTTAACATTGTCTGAGTGCTATTCATGCCAGATTGCAGGAAAATTTCTGAAGCCAGATAAGAAAACTGCTGACCTTGTTGGAAATACAAAAATGAAGGCTAGCACCAATGTTAGGCATATTGTTCTTCCTTGTACAAGTGCTGCCAGGTCCCAGCTTATCCCGGACATTATTCGCTGTTATAGCAGGTGATTTTTATTATTCAACTTGTGATTTCTATTCACATATGATATCTGTTTATAGTCGACTGGATTTAATCTTCATGGTTCTGGTTCAGTGGAGGCAGGACTATTATATTTACCGAGACAAAGGAGTCAGCTTCTCAGCTTGCAGGGATGTTGCCTGGAGCAAGAGCTCTCCATGGTGACATACAACAGGCACAACGTGAGGTGAGCTCTTACCTGACGTTGTGTTTTCTTTTTCACAATATATGTAAATTATAGTGTGTGGCATTGAGCCACTCTTGTGGTTTTTTTTAATTGTTTCTCAATTGTGTCCTGTCCCTGCAGGTTACTTTGTCTGGCTTTAGGTCTGGGAAATTCATGGCATTGGTTGCCACAAATGTGGCAGCTCGTGGGCTGGATATTAATGACGTTCAGTTAATTATCCAGGTACTTTTGATGCATATACATGCAATGTATCAGATCATCCTTATTTTTGTCACAATTTGATATGCTGACATTTGTATTTTGATTTAGTGTGAACCCCCAAGGGATGTAGAAGCCTATATCCATCGTTCTGGCCGCACAGGGAGAGCAGGTTTGTACAGGATTTTGCTATTGGTTTATGATGCGATTGTGATATTGGAGTTATCAATTTTAGTGTTATACTGGGCTTTGGTTTTTATTCAGGTAATACTGGGGTTGCTGTTATGCTTTATGATCCAAAAAGATCAAATATATCTAAAATAGAAAGAGAATCTGGCGTGAAATTTGAACATATATCTGCCCCCCAGCCTGATGATATTGCCAAAGCTGTTGGTGGTGAAGCTGCTGAAATGATTACTCAAGTGTCTGATAGGTATTCTTGTTATTTGCTAATTGTTTGGCACCGTCTTTTGCTGTTAACATATGTCATAAATGCAGTGTGATTCCTGCATTCAAGCCTGCTGCTGAGGAGCTTTTAAACAGTTCTGGTTTATCAGTTGTTGAATTGCTTGCAAAGGCTCTTGCCAAGGCCGTTGTGAGTCAATGTTTTCCCACATTTTCTCCATTTAATTTTTCCTTGCAATTTGTCTTTTTATAAATACATCGAATCCTTAGTCTCAATTACTTTTCTCTAATCTGGAAAAATTTGTCTTATGCATTTGTAGGGTTATACTGAAATAAAGAAAAGATCCCTTCTCACTTCCATGGAGAACTATGTTACATTACTTCTTGAGATTGGAAGACCAATATTTACCCCATCGTGAGAACCTCAATAAACCTGATTACACATTATGGCATTTACATATTGCTTTAGTTCTGAATCTCGAAACTTAAGAAATCAAGCACATTCAAATTAATGTGTGATATAATTATGCTTTATCTCTTTATATTGTGTAAGTGTATATGCTGCTTGTTGGTTTATTTGGTTGTGCATACTACAATCATTGTGATGGAAATAGGCTGATTATCTGAATAAAAATAGAACTACATTTGAAGTATCACTTATTTGAGCATTTTCAACTTGTTTGACTTGCTCTTCAACTGCTGGATGTTATCAGTTTTGCGTACGGAGTCTTGAGGAGATTCTTGCCTGAAGAGAAGGTTGAGGCAGTGAAAGGTCTTTCACTCACTGCTGATGGAAATGGTGTTGTTTTTGATGTACCAGCTGAAGATTTAGATACATATCTTACTGGTAAACGTCTACTTAATTCTGTTTACTTGGTATTTTGAGCACATTTTTAGAAGAAAAAATCTTCTAATTGTTAAAGTGGTAGGGACAGAGAGAAAAAGAATTTTGAACACTTTTAAAATTCCACATAACTCTTGACTTAGGATTTTGAGCACATTTAAATGAGTATCTTTCAGGAACTATCACTAGTAGAGAATATGGATCTACATTTCTACATATCGCTTTTTATTTTGTCCATATTTTTCTTTGAATCATATTTGTCCTTCAGGTCAGGAAAATGCCTCGAATGTGAGTTTAGAGGTGTTGAAAACATTGCCACGTTTGCAACAGAGAGATCAATCAAGAGGTGGTAGATTTGGTGATGGCGGTGGTCGAAGTGGGTTTGGTGATAGAAGTGGGGGAAACAGGTTTTCAGGGGGAAGAGGTGGGGGTGGCGGCGGCAGAAATGGTAGATTTTCAAACGATAGATTTTCCAATGGTGGTGGGAGAGGTCGTAGCAACTGGGGTGGAAAGAGATGGTGAAGCTGATAGGGAGCTAGGGACTTAGGGAGTTCAATTCATTGTTTTTTTGTTCCAAGTAGGAGCATAACTGCATGCGGTGCCGTGGAGACTACAACATTAATTCTGGCCGACGAAATATTTTATGTTGTTTCATAGGCTATGGAGGATCCAATTTCAGATGGATTCAACTTGTCCTCGTTAACACATTTTTTTTTCTGGTATAGTATTCTTTATGTTTTATTGCTTTGCTATTGATACCGCTTTCTTTATTTATTCCTGACTGGGAAGTGTAAGATCAGAATTTTATAATACATGAGAATGGGAATGGTAAAGGAAATTTTCTCTCTCTTTCTATATATATATGTGATTTACTTTTGCAGAAGAATTTGTTATATATATATATATATAAAACTTTAACATAAACAAGAATATCAGTTATATTTCTTAAAATATGAATGATCCTCTTAAGAAGAGACAGAAAAAGAAATAACAGTAATAATTAATATTATTAACAAAATAAAAAATAACATTCATACATTTGATTAGTTATTTTCCCTCTGTCACTTCATTTTTCTTTCTATATTTTCCTTTGTATCACATTACTTGTCACATTATTCAACTCTCTTTCCTCTTCCTATCTAGGGTATCTTTACCTTAGATGCATACATCCGATGATATATATATATATATATATATATATATATATATATGATCAGCATTTAAAGTGTAGAGATAAGATTTAATATTATTTTAAACTCTTAAATAAATAGATAAGTAAAAATGAAGATCTATTTGAAAAGTGGACAAATAAAGGGAGAGAAAACATTATTAGCTTAAATTTTTTTTGAAAATTTTACTTTGTCATTGGGTTTTGTTAATCAATGCCTGTAGTGTAGCTAAGATTTTTTTTTTAATAAAAAGTACATTAGAGTGTGTTAATGATTATGTTGAGAGTGAATTATATATATATGTTACTTTGAATTCTTTTTTTTAAATACTAGAAATCTTTAATTACTCTTTTTTAACAATATCTTTATTTTAAATATTAATTGTTCCTTTCATTTAATCTGTTCACTTTTAAAAGAAATTTTGTATTTATTTATTTGAATTTTCAAGATAATATTAACTGTTAAATTTAAAATTATGCCTCTATTTCTACCCATTTCTTAAATCTTTATACATATATCATAAATGAGAGAATTATTTTTGTGCCAAGTTGATGAGGATTCAACTCCCCAAGAGGTAAAACACAAGAAATTCAAATCTTCCTAGTTTATTCATATAATGAAGCAATCAATGATAATATTTTCCCGTCCCAGTTTTATAAAACCTTGACGAGTAAGCTGCTGCGGTGAAATGGTAGACATGCTACTCTTTGGAAACAGTATCAGAATATCCACATTCGAATGAGTGGCCATATGACATTTCTTAAGAATAAGTTGTGTAGTGAATTCAATTGTCGATTTCTACTCTTATCATGTTAAAAAAAGTGAAAAAATAAAATAAAATCATAACGTAGAAGTACAATATTCCCAAACATATGCACTCAAAATATTATACTATTTTGTTGCTCGTCAAGCAATAGAAACATTGGATGGAGAAATTAAAACTTAAAAGTAGGTAAAATTTTCGCCAAAGAAAATAAGTAATTTTATTTTATTGTTCTTTACTTAAAAAACAAGATTTCAACATTCCATGCTCCTTTTTTTTTCCTTCTCAGATTTAACTCTTCATGTCACAGTAAACTTAGAGTGCCAGAAAGGATCAAAATGCAGGCCAATAGAAGAAATAAGAGGCACTCCTCTTGCCTTTGTGATTCTTATCCTCACAACATGGGCATTGACATCATCCCCATCAAGCCTATGAAGCCTTTTGTAACCCACTGTTGTCCCTTTGATGATCAATTTATCATCCACATAGATTTCATGCCGTTCGATCCTTTGACCAAGTCCAATTGCTTCTTGTATTCTAATCACATTGAATCTTACACTTCTATCCTTGGCCCAAATTTCAACCCAATGGTCCTCTTGATCGCCATCTTCACTGGGGGCCCAATAGGACCACACGTGATCACTGTCTAGCATGTTTTCTGGTCCAAAACCTCCCCCATTCCCCCCTCTTTGGCTACTAACTTTAATAAAACAACCTTGAGCAAGATTCTGATGAAAAATTGTATTAATTGCACTTCTAAATTCTTTTAATCTATGAGCATCAAGATCAGATATAAGACCAGTTGTATTAGGAGGTACATTGAGAAGTAACACACAATTTCTCCCAACTGAATTGTAATAAATATCAAGTAGCTCGCTTAGCTTTTTTGGGGATTCTGACTTGTGCCAAAACCATCCATTTCTGATAGAAACATCACATTCCGCTGGTAGCCAATCTGTCCCTTTTGGATCACCAGTGCTAAGATACCTGCAATGGATATAAACAAGTGTCAAGTGTTGATTAAATCAACCCATCAATTAACTCCTAAGCTTAAGAAGAAAAAATGGTAGGTACTCTAGGTGTATCGCTATAATTTCTTCATGATGGAATGGGTAATTGGTTCAACATTTCAAGAGATTTGATTTAGATTCCAATAAATGTTTTATCAATTATTAGTTTGATGCTAAGTTGATGTGATATTTTTCTAAAAGTTCCTCTTATCTTTTACCTAAAGCATTATGATGACAAAGTTTGGTAACCCACAAAATATTTGCTTTGGTCGGTTAGCACACGCTCAATTATCAAAATAGGTTGCAGTTTCTTTACTTTTGCCTTTTGAATGAAAGATGGGCTTTTTTATTTCTAATGAAGAAAAGTGAGCATTCAGTGAAGCTTCACCATTCGTACCTTATCATTCTAGATCAATATGGAGTTCAGCGTAACAAAGTGAAAAAGTGGCACCTTATTTATTTGTATTTTGTAGTGCTTTGCTTATAAAAGCTGAACTTACTGAGTAATGTTTGGACTTCCAATTGATAGAGACGTTCGATTAATGGTAGACCAACATGTGTACCCTGCAGACCCTGATTCATCTCCCACCCACCTAACGTCAGGACCAGCATCAGAAAAGATGTTGATAGAACTCTGCAACTCCTTCACCATGGAAAACCAATCTGAAAAGTAATACGACACATTCTGTGTCTTTGGATCCTTTGCTCCATCAAACCAAATTTCTCTAACATTTTGATATCTACAAACCATAGAACATAAGGTTAATTAATTATGTGTTTTGGATTCACATTTGAAATCTGTAAATATGGATCTAACACATTATAAGTAGATAAAACACATTTAAATACGAATACAAAAATGCTAAAAGTAATTAATTGACTTCCAACAAAACAACAGGAAAAACTATAATTCTACTAGTTTAGCTCATCTGCTTGAATGACATGATGCCATTAAACTTGAGTAAAAATTAAAATTTTAAAAATATTATATATATATGATAGATCCGTTTGAATCAAAAATATGACAAAGCACCAAGGTAATAATAATAATAATAGAAGAGTGGGAACTCACTTTTTGAGTAGCTCTTGCAATTGAGCCAAGTAATACTGATTGTAGAGCAAGTCATGGCCATATCTAGGGTCATGTCTATCCCATGGAGAAAGGTAGATCCCTACATCAATTCCTTGCGACGTAGCTGCATTAACAAACTCTTGAACAACGTCACCTTTGCCACCTTGCCAGGGGCTGCTAATGACAGAATGTTGAGTGTACTTAGAAGGCCAGAGGCAAAACCCATCATGGTGTTTTGCAGTTAATATCATCAATGAAATTCCTGCATCTGCTGCCACAGTGGCCCACTGGGTGGTGTTGATCCCTGTGGGGTTGAAGATTTCTGGGCTTTCATGGCCTGTGCCCCACTCGCTGTTAGTGAATGTGTTGACACCAAAATGAAGGAACATTATGATCTCCCTTTGTTGCCATTTCAACTGAGAATATGTTGGGAGTGGGATAAGTGGCAAAGGGGGTGTTGGTACTTGCTCCTCATGCCATGAAATGCAGAATCTGAGTTGTTGGAATATTAGTGTGATTAAGAAAGAAATGTAGCATAGCCTAGCCATGTTCTAGATTGTTTTCTACTTGTTTCCTTTCCAGATGTTAATGCTGTATAATTGTATATATATGTGCTTTTGGAAATGGAAGAGAATGGATGTTTAAGTGGAGTTTGATTTTCTTTGGGGATGTTCAATTGGAGCAAGGACACACGGGAAATAAAGATAACATTCTGGTTTGCACTTTGTTTGGTTCCTACTATTCTGATTGTCGTCATCGTACCATATATGCATCATTTCTTTTAATATTTTTACATCTATTTCTTTCAGTATAGGTATTTTAAAAATTTTAAATTATAGTATCATTAAATTTTAAAATCATTTATACTTAATGAGTATTATTAATTAATTAATCTTACTTTTTAATCATTAAATTATTTGAATTGATTAATATTTTTAAAAAATATTTTATTAGCATATTTATTTTCTTAACTGTAAACTATATTTCATAATGATATTTTTTCTAAATTTTTAAATTATAATAATATTATTATTTTAAAAAGGGATGTATAATTTTTTTCTCTCACTCTTGATTCTAAAAAATATCTTAAGTTATGGAAAATTTATGTTTTAATTATTTAATTTTTAATTAAAATCTACATATTAAAGAATTCTACGATATCTTAAAATAAATAAATCCTTAAAAATAATATTATTTAACAATAAATTTCTTTCCCTCCTTCAATTTCCTAGATGCATTCCAATTATTCACGGGTTGGTTTTCCTGTTCTCGATTCCTTCTCAGTTCTCACAAGACTAAAACGTAGCATTATATGGGGTTTCACTTTCTTGTGTTCTCAATTGTCGTTTTGTCCACTCTTCAACTTATTATTGTTAACGTATGACATATATGTCGGCGTGTTAAACTTTTTATAACTTAATGAGTCATTGTCTTTTACGGTAGTGTTGATTAAGAAACATGTAATACACTTATAACTATCTTGTGTTTTATGTTAATAATAATGATTTTATTTTATTTTTATATTTTTATTTTTCTATATATAAATAGATGAGTTTTTGAGATAAGTTTATCTTCACAGCAATATTAATTCAGTGTAATTAATATATTTATATATTTTTTAATAATTTCATATTAACATATTAATATATTTATTATTGTAAAATTTAAAGTAATTTTAAATTTTAATATTAATAATTTATTTTAAATTTTATTATTAAAAATTGATTAATTAGTATCTTATTAAAGAGAAATAATAAAATAAATAAATAAGAATTAATGAATTTATATATTTAAAATATAATGCAGCAATAGAATGAATACGAATTAATATTAATTTAGTGTGATTAATATATCTATATTTTTTTATAATTTTAATATTAACATATTAATTTATTTATTTTTGTAAAGTTTGTAGAGTGCAATTGTCAATTTTAATATTAATGATTTACTTTAAATTTTATTATTAAAAATTGATAAGTGATATATAATTAATAAATAATAGTGAAAAGAATAAATAAAAATTAATGAGTTTATATATTCGAAAGTTAATGTAAAAATAAAATGAATAAGAATTAATATTAATTTAGTGTGGTTAACATATTTACCTTTTTTTATAACTTTAATATAGTAATACATTTATTCTTGCAAAGTTAAAGATAATTTTAAATTTTAATATTAGTGATTTACTTTAAATTTTGTTATTGAAAATTGATAATTAATATATAATCAACAAATAATAGTGGAATGAATGAATAAGAATTAATGAGTTTATATATTCAAAAGTTAATGAAATGAATATGAATTAATATCAATTTAGTGCGATTAATATATCTATCTCTTTTTTATTTTAATATTAATATATTGCTGTATTTATTCTTGTAAAGTTTAAGACAATTATAAATTTTAATATTAATAATTTACTATAAATTTTATTATTAAAAATTAATAATTGATATTTAATTAATGAGAAAGAATAGTAGAATAATTAAATAAGAATTAATAAATTTATTCATTCGAAAGGTTATGTAATAATGAGATGAATAAGAATTAATATAAATTTATATTTCAAATATTTAAATCTGTTATAGATAATTAAATAATTTTAATATTGTAAATATATTTAAATAATGCATGTACAAAGAATTATATGGATAGACGTAAAACATTTAATAAACAGAAAAAAATATTTTATTTAATATATATAAGAAAATGTATATATTATTTGTTTAAAATAATAATTTTTATTAGTAAAAAATATATATATTTCTCCAAAATGACTACAATTTCAATGCTTTGTAAAATATAACCTAGGAAGTATATTAGAAGATAATAATTTAAATTATTCATCTTCAGTTTTTTTTTTTCTAAATTTGAAAATAAAAATTAAGTTAATAGCATGAATGTGATTTTGACTAATGAAAATATAAAACTGTTAAATTTCTTTAGTCAAAGTGCATAATTTTTTTATTATTTAATTCATTTATTTTCTCTTATTATTTAAGAATTTATTGTACTGTTATAATATTATATTAGTTATAAAAAATTACTGCATGAAAACAATATGTATATTATGAAAAAGTTTTATAATAAATACTTCTTAAAAGAAGTTGTGAATCACCAAACATAGATAAAAATTAAATTTAATGATAATTACAAAAATTTCAAAGATTAAATGTGACAATATCTTTTAAAATTTAAATTAAATTTATTATAAAAAATTTATTTTATAATTAATAATTATAATATTATATTATGAGATAATAATATAACGCATAAGTCATCTTACGTTATTGTTGTTATTATTATTATTATTTTATCTTGACATTTGAATTTTACATTAACTTCTTATGAAGAGTAAGATTAGGTTTGGTGTGGGACTCATCAAAAGTATGTGTTAACCTGTTTTTTTTTTTTTTTTTTTTTTTCTATTTACCTGCTCTTTTGTTAACCGCAGTAAGATAATTTTTAAAATTATTTATTAAATTAATTTTATTTAAGAAATTACAAAATATGTGAATTTAATAGTGTATACTGTATAAATAATATTGTAAAAGAAAAGAGATCATACACCAAAACGTGACGAATCACACGATATATTATAAAGTGTTACTTGTTGTATTTTGATCTATTTTTCTTTAATTTTACTTACACATTAGAAATTGGCACATGTCACGTTTTGTGCTACTTGTTAATGTTCAGATTTAATTTTAATTTTCCTCCAATCTTAACTGAATTAAAAAATTATATTTAAATTTTCTTTTACATTAATTTAAGTTTAAATTCAAAATATTTTATATTAATTAAAATTTAAATATTAATTTGCTCTCCTTTTGACTAAAATTTAAATTTAAAATTAATTTTTTTAATCTTAAATTTTAGTTAAATGGAAAACGTGTGATGTATCAATTTCTAGGGTGTAAAACAAATAAAAAAGAGTAACGAACCAAAATATGACATGATTTGCATTAGAGAACCATAGACCAAATTAGAACACGTGGTGACCTATGGTACGTGTCCTCTTTTAATGTGAGTTACACACTTATATGTCACTTTCAGGAGTGTCATTTTCCATTGGCACTATTATATATAAAAAAATTATTTTTACGATTAAATTGATGTTTTAAGACATTAATTTTATTTTATTTTTTGTAAATGACAAAAGATTCTAAGCTTAATACAAATAACCCACTAAGAAAGGATAGACATGGAGGTCAAGTGGATAAGTAGGTCAGATAAGATCATCCATTAAACGAGTTTCAGAAACATAAAACGTTAGTTTGAATTTACTTAATAAAGCTTTAAAAAGTTATGCCTATAAAGTTTTTTGGATGAGTTGAAATTTGCCATTTCTAATTAAGTAGGTTTTAAAATAGTCTTAAGGACTAGTTTTTAAGAACAAGTTAACTGTAATTATCATTCAAATTTAAGGACTTTTTCTTGTCTTAAAATAAGATTATCCCTTCAATGGTACACTGAACCGCCATTTGGAAACTTTGCAAGTGACTTGAGAAAGGACCCGAAGCCCATCTAAACCAACCCAACAATTTTTGGGTTCTTTATGATCTGTCGTAGGTGAAAGATACAACCTGCCAGTCTTGTTCATAAATCAAAAGAAAAGCAGCCACTGTCAACTACTCACTTCCTTTTCGACATACACATAAAAGTAACACGATTATTTTAGATGATGATATTACTTTAAAATAATATTTTCATTTTTAATATCTATAATTTTGTGTTTTTTAATTTTCTAAATATTTTCAAGACACAATATATATTTTTGTTTAATATCTATTTTATAAAGTAGTAGGATCACTATTTAAAAAATAGAACAATTTATTTAGAATAACTAATAAAATTACTATTGCAAATGTTATTTCCTTTGATGTCTTATTTATAGCATTTTAATTAATAAGTTTAACTATTAAATAATATGATATTAATATTATGATTATACATTAAATTTTAAATAAATTAAAATTGATAAATAATTTTTATAGTTATTTTTTAATTACATTTTAAAATATATGTTATATATTAAATAAATTCACTCACTAAAGTGTTAATTAAATTTTAAAAATTATAAAAATAATTTTAATAAATTGTGTGTGTGAAGTTGGTGAGAAAGAGAACAGTATAAGAGATGCGATTGATGACATAATAAAAAAATAAATGTAAGATATGATAAGTATGAAAATATAGAAATGTTAATATATTATTTATTTATAATTAATTTATAATTTAATTATTTAAATTAATAGAAACAATTAAAATTAATGAATAAAAACTTTATAAAAAGATTAGCAGGAAGCATGCTAGAAAATTTATGAAGGATTTAGCCCACTTCAATGGGTTCAGATTTCGGTATCATCGTTACCATAAAGCATTGAGAATATCTTCTCGCAATTCACAATGGGTTCAGAGTTCAGACAAATCAAATAGAGAGGCTTCTCATATCCAAATTCTACCACCAAGCAGATGTATACAAATTATAGTGAAAACTATTTTATTATTAATTTAAATTTAAGTTTTTTATAAATGCAAATAATTTTAAATTAATAAGAAATATATATTTTTTTAATAATTTCCTACCATTTAGCTCGTTTTCGTTAAGATTTCCAATTAACAACAGCAATATCCAACAGTGTTGGGGCGACTGGATTTGTTTTCTTCTTAAAAGAAAACAAAAAGTACATTAAAACATCTCTGCCCCGTTACTTAGGTACGTCCTACATTCCTTGTTTTTTTCTTCTGCATATTATATAAGATCAAACCTTGCTGTTACCTTTGTTATACAATTGGTGCCAATTGATACGACTTCAACCAACAATATTTTTATTCTTCTTTCTATTTTTTAATAATGCAATATTATTAATAGATTAAAATTTATAATATTTTATTATAAAAAATATTGTACATAATTTTTTCTGCTGTTGTTTAAGTAGTAAGAACTATTAATCCCGTTGAACAGTAAAACTAAAGTTTCTTTTTAATAAAATAATATGATATCACATAATGTATATATAACATTAAAATATTATAATTATAATTTTTAATAAAATTTCATAATTTTTATTTTTTTAAAATATACACATTAAATACCATAACAAATTAATTAACAAAAAATATCAATACAGCTACATTAAATATCCAAAAATAATTTAGCCCTCACCCACGTTCTTATTCAACTTAAATAAAATTTTCTTTCATTTTGTATCTGTAGATGCATAACGACTAGAACTTTTGGGAACTTGTCCTCATTTATTTTCTGTACAAGTCTGTAGCCATAAAAAACCCCGCAAGCCCTTTCGCTGTAAAATGTCAGCCAATTCATTAATGAATCAGGTGGCATGACACTATTTCATATGCATACTCCGAACCAACAATATATATTATCATTTCTTTTTCGCAACCAATCGCACACACTTTTCTAGTGTGACCATGCAAAAACATGCCAAAAAGAATAAAACAACAACAAAAAGCTAGGGTGGTCTTTCTCTTCTTCAGGGAAATTTCTAGTATGGTTGAGATCATGAGTCATGACCATTTGCCACACAAAGTTTAAAAAGAAAAAGAATAGATAAATATTGGTTCTTTCTACGTGGCAATAAGTAAACTTCCCCGCTTTATTTTCTTATTTGCCCTTATATTTTACGCCATCTATTTATACCCTAATAACTTGCCATCATCACTGCAATGAAATGATCGTATAATGGAAGCCATTCTCAAGCAAAACCATGTCCTTCCCTTCAACCCAACCACCCCTGATCAATTCACCCTCTTCTCAAATCACTTCCTTCCAAAACTCATCAACTTTCTATCGGCTTGTATCTTCTTTATTGCAGCATCTGCTGAAGTTTTCTTACTTCTTCAAAACTGGGAACTGATGTTCCATTTTCTGATACCATGTTTCCTCCTTCTTTGTTTCCTTGTTAAGTACTTTCTCTCAAGACCCTCTCCCATTTACCTTGTGGATTTCTCATGTCTTAAGCCACCCAGCTATTGCAGGGTGCCTTTCGCAGCATTTCTTGAAAATGCATCCATGTTTGAGATTTTCGACTCTGAAAGCATAGCTTTTATGGCCAAAGTCCTTCATTCCTCAGGACAAGGTGAAGAAACTTGCCTCCCACCTTCCTTGCACTACATTCCTCCAAAGACCCATCAAACAGAATCCATCAAAGAGGTGCAAATGGTACTTTTTCCCATCATGGACGATCTTCTTGCAAAAACCAATGTCTCACCCCTTGATATAGACATTCTTATCCTAAACTGTAGTGGCTTTTGCCCCTCACCTTCTTTAACTTCCATTGTCACCAACAAATACTCTATGAGAAGTGACATTAAGAGCTATAATGTCTCTGGCATGGGGTGCAGTGCAAGTGCCCTTTGCATTGATTTGGCTCAGAATCTTCTGAGAGTTCATAAGAACACTAATGCCATTGTTCTTAGCACAGAGATTTTGTCAACTGGTTGGTATTCAGGGAATGAAAAGTCCAAGTTGCTGATCAATTGCCTCTTCAGGATGGGAAGTGCAGCGATCCTTCTCTCAAACAAGAAAGAAGCAAAGAAATATGCAAAATACAGGTTGGTTAGGACACTCAGAACCCAGAGAGCCTTTGATGATCAAGCTTATTTTTCTGCCGTAAGGGAAGAAGATTCTAAAGGAAAAATTGGGGTGACACTAAAGAGAGACTTACTTCAAGTAGCTGGTGAAACTCTCCGTGCAAACATCTCCGTTTTGGGTTATGAAATCTTTCCTCTATCAGAAAAATTTTGGTACGGGGTTTCCGTGATCAAAAAGAGGTTTATAAAGTCTGAGGGAATTTACGTGCCAAATTTCAAGACAGTGGTGCAACACTTTTGCTTGCCTTGTTCAGGGAGGGCAGTGATAAGAGAAGTAGGCAAAGGGTTGAAGCTTTTAGACAGAGACATTGAACCTGCTTTGATGACACTGCACAGGTTTGGAAATCAGTCTTCTTCCTCAGTGTGGTACGAACTAGCTTACTTGGAAGCCAAGGAAAGAGTGCATAAGGGTGACATGGTTTGGCAACTTGGCATGGGAAGTGGACCCAAGTGTAACAGTGTGGTTTTAAAGTGTATTAGGCCTATAGTTGGAGAGTACCAGAAGGGGCCCTGGGCTGATTGTATCCATCAATACCCAGTATTCACTGTCAATTAAGAATTCCAATTTGATTATAAATTTCTCAGTGTTTTTATCGTGAGTTGTATATGGCTAGAAGATCATTTCACATCTTGCATTTTTATGCACTTAAGTAAACATTTAAGTATATACATGGGCAATATTTTTTTATATTAGAGTAAGATTAAAAACTTTTGCACTTATCTAAACTTTTTATTTAATTTATATCTAATAAATTATAATTTATTATTTTACTAACTATTATATTTAAGTTAAATGAAAGATTTAGATTAAATATAAGAATTTTATATAACTTTTTTAAAGAATTAGTGTATACAATTTCTTATAGTCAATCATGTTACAAAGATTAAAAAAATTATAATCTTTTTATTTTGTTGAAAGGTTAAAATCATTTTTAAATATTACTTTTAAAGCAATGCTTTTGTTAATATTAATTTTAAAATTTATAATATAATAAATATTTGTTATTATTAATTATTTAAATCCAATTATAAGAATTGAGAAAAATAAAAAGAAAATAATTATCATAGGACTTAATAATTTATAATATATAACAATTTACAATTAAGTGAACTGTAAAATGAGCGAAAGAAGTATTCATAACTAAGAAAATCTAATATCACTGAATTCATATTCAATGAGAGTGGCAAGGGTGTCAGTTGTAGAAGTGATTTGTTGAGAAATGAATCAGTAGGGTGAGTTTACATTTACTACTGTGTATCTTTTTGGTATCTGTAGAAGTAAATGGTAAACGGGTTGGACTGAGGTGGTTGCTTGCATCATTAATTGTTTCTCTCAGGAAGTGATGACACCAGTTGGGACTGTCTCCACCTCCACTGTTGCGGTGTTGCCTTTACCCTAGGCACCGGAAAACCCTTCTGCTACATGCATGCTAACTACTACCTAGTCATAATTCTCCACATTTCCTCCTCAGCCTTAATATCAAGTTTCACCAAATTCGTTTTGCTTGCATTTTATAACCTACTTCATTCACGCTATCACACCCATGTTTTTATGTATAAGAAAACTAAATTATTCATGATCTGAAATATTCTTTTCTAACTACTAAGGTATGTTATCTGTATCCTGTGCAAAATTATTGTGATTGGTATTTTTATTTTTTAAAAATATTTGAACTTATATATTATTAGATGTAACAAATTTTCAATACATCAATCTAAATATTATTAAATGAAATGATTAGTCAAATAATTAAAGAGAAGTTTACTTTTAAACATTAAAATCTTATTATATTCAAATATAAACTAAAACTTTATTAGTAATTTATCTTTATATGAAACAAATATTGATACTAAGATTATTTTATTATAACATTAGTTAGCTAAATGATTAGGATGCCTTTTTAAATTTAATTTATTAAATTAAATTTTTGTCAATGTTACTGTGTTACATCGATACGCATTCTACCAACTCCAAAAAAAACTACAGTAAGATTATAAAGCCCAAAGCCCAATCTTACAATTCCGTGCGCCTTCTCTGTGCCACCAAACATGTGCTTTATAGGCCGATTACAAGTTGGATTGGGTTAATTTGGGCAAAACTAAATTAAAATTTAAATTGATTAGATAAAATTTAATTAAGTAAAATTAAGTTTATCAGTTTTTTCAATTAACCCGAACAAACTCAACTAGGCTCGGTTGGATGGGTTATTTAAATTGATTAGATAATATATGATTTCAAATAACATTAAATGTTTAACTTGATAAAATAAATAACCTTCTGCGGAAGTTAAATTTTGTTAATACAATTATTAAATTATATTATATTTCATAATAATTATGTTCACTAATTATTTAGATTCTGGTTAAATAACCTAGATTTCAACTACATTCAACATTGTTATAATGGAAATCGACGGAAGGATTAGAGTGTAAGGCACTTTTGTTTTCATCATGGAGGTTATATTTGGTATGCTGTTGTTTGGTCACTTTGGTTGTGTAGAAATAACATTTTGTTTAAAACTGACATTTCTACAATTGATAATGTCCTTCAATTGATCCAAATTAAGTTGAAGGGTTTTTCTTTTTCCCACGGCTGAACGAAAGAACCTTAAGTGTACCCAATGGTCATCAATTGATGAACGTGCATGAACAGAAGATACATTAAATCTATTAAAGAGTGATTATATCTGATTCGTTTTTTTCATAGTAAATTTTTCAATAGCATAAAGGCATCATTGGGAAATTCAAAGTCATTACATGTCTGATTACTTTTTAAATGCACTTTTACTTTCTTTATAAAATGATTCTTTTTCAGACGTAAGAAGAATCTCTCGTACACATTAGAATTTTCAAAGTAATATTGCTCACGAACTCTCCTCTTCATTCGCTGTTCTTCATTGGTGAGTCTATTTATATATGCATTCTTTGATAAAGAGAAAGGCTAAAAGTTAAAGGTTTTCATGCATGGAAAGTGCAATCGGAAATTTGACGTTAAGAACAGACAATTCACAATATGGTATACAGAGTGTATCATTGACAAATTTTTTAAAACAATAAAAAAAAATATGTATCACAATAGAAGAAATTATTTACAGTTATTTGTTACTACAAACCAATGTGTATAAATAAAATTCAATTTTCTTTTTCTGGTTTGAGTACTCTAAAACTAGGGGCCTCACCAACATGTGTATATTCGTATCGAAAAATAAATAACATTTATATTACTTATTTCGCTACTTGAACTTTTCAAATATTTTTTATTGGTATTTAATATAAGACATTTTATAAAATTTAAGAAATATTTATTATTATTTTTATACTTACCTTTAATTATTATTTTTTAAATTATTAACTGTTAATATAATAATAGATATTAATTTAACTAAATACAAAATTAAAATGCCGTAATTATTTTTTAAAATTAATAAATTAACTACTTACAACAACTTGTTTTTGTAAGTATGATTTAGGTAAAAGATTTGTATAAAGAGGACTAGAGTAAGTATATACCTCAAATGCAAAATTATTTTAAAAATGATTTTGAACTGGATTAATATTAATTTTAAAAATTAATTTCATAATATAAATAATTTAAAAACTGATTATAAAATAAAACTTGATTTTAAGAACAGGATAACTAAACCGTTTGTTAAAAACATACTAATTTTCTTTTAAAACAGTTATTTTTTAAAATGTAGTATAAGTTAAATTATTTTGTTTAAATGATTTTTGCACAATCATAATTATGCATAGTAGGTAAGCTTTTCGTCAAAAAAATATCACAAACATCATGTTTACATGTTATTTATCGGTTTTGAGAAAAATAACTATTCATATAATTTTTTTTATTATAATTATGTAATAAAATTTTTAAATATCCATTAAGATTTTGTTGATCAATATCCCGTTAAGGAATTAATAGATAGTAAATTTTATTAAAAATCACATTAAAATGTATTAAAAATTACAGAAATGTGAGTCTTTTAACGTTTTCAATAATTTTTTTTTATTAACCAACATTAGTTTACATTTTCTAAACTTTTATTAGTGGATTTTCTTAAAACTTTTAGATTACTTGTGTAAATATTTTATTTATTATACTATCTCCGTTCTTTTTTATTAGTCTCCGTTTTAAAAATTTTTTGTTCTTTTTTATTTGTTTCATTAAAATTTTAAGAATACATTTATTATTATTTTTTTACTATACTCTTACCCTTTACATAAATGAAATGGTTAATTAACTTATACAAATTTCAAAAATTAAAGAAAATTCTTAGTAATATATTCTGTTTCCTAATTTTTATAGATAGATTTAATTCTTAGACTACTCATCAAGCATTGCATCATGATTATAACTATATTCAAAGTGAAAAATTTTAGTGGTAACAAATTTTAAATTATAAAGTGAAAGAGAAAATGACAAATTGAAGTTTATGGTAGAATAAGATAATTTAATGAATTGCATCAAAACAGTATGGATTGGAATATCAATGGAAAGCTAACACGGTCAAAAAGGAGGAGCTAGAAATATCTCGTGAATAGTTAATTTTTTAAAATATTTATTAATATTAATAATTCTAAGTAAGTCATGGAGTAGTCAAAATTCAATTTAGAAATAATTTAATAAAAAAACTAAAATATGAAAATAGATGTTAAAATTTAGTAATTCAAAAATATTAAATAATTTTTTTAATTAGAAGACAGATAAAAAAGAATAGAAGGAGTACTTATAGTTTCTATATGAGAAAATGATATTAGTGAAAAATATAAAAATTAACATTATCTCAATATTCTACAAAAATAAACAAGAATAAAATATTTTTTTTTCTCAAACAGATCAATAGATAGATATAATATTAATTAAAATCAGATCGATACTTTTCAGCTCTCAGCAATCAGTAATGGGGTATTAACTTTTGTCAAAACTAAATTTGTACTATCTAACATATTTCATAAAAATTAAGAAAAGGTACCCTAAAAAATAAGTTCCATAACTTCTATTCTGACCCTGTCTCACTACCATTTAACTATTAATATAACAAACACTGTGTCCGAAAGAAACGATTATTGGCATTAATTAAATCATTAGAAATAGAAACAATAGAGCTGTGATCAAAGGATAATAGGATATGGTTACTTTTAAAGTCCAACAAGAGTTGTCCTTTCCTTTAATGCTGCTAAGGTCAGCACTAAATATGGACTTGGCTTATGCTTTTGTTAAAGTGGGTTGTAGGCTAGCAGATAGGATACCCACATTAGCACTAATTGTCATTTTGAGGAAAAGACATATTAAAGATAATGAATCAAGCAACTTGCCTTATTTTCACTATATTCGCTCAAATTTATTGTGTGTCAACTACTTCCTCTGAGTAATTCGATAATGAAGACTACATTTATGTTCCATAAGATTTATGGTACCAGTTTGAATTTAATTATTATTTTTTTTAAAATAATGTAAGTTTAAAAAATTTTATGAGTTTTTTTATTTAATTTAAATTTAATGAATTATAATTTATTACTTCACTAGTCGTTAGATTTAAATTAAATAAAAGGCTC